TACTTTATATACAATGTCTTCTTAAGAGATGAAGATCATGAATTAACAATGTAAAAATAAATGGCTATCAGAAAAGCGCATCTGATACAATTATTATACAATATTGACTTATCATTTGTAAGTGGGAATCTTTAGTTTCCATGGAAACGAAATGCTTAGGTTTGAAAGTAAAAGTAGATAAATAAGATTACCTATAGATATAAGGTCAGTTTGATCTGGTATCAATAATGGGAAGTACAAGTGTCTCACCTGCAGAAATAATTACTGTAAAATTTCCTCAGATGTTTTAGCTCTAGAAAGGGATATCAGTGACCACAGCAGTATTAAGGTCAATGCATTTATAGTTTCATTTGTACATTTGTAGTTTAATAGATTTTTTCACTTATCTCATGATAACTAGCAAAAATCTGCTGACCATTATTTTGAAAATATTTTTGAGAAACTCCCGCACCCGGAGGCGTCCTTCAGCTGGCCCCTAAACAAATATGTATACAACATATCTGTTACATAGATTTCTGTGGAAAATACAAGCAAGAAGAAACAGGTTCGCAATTTCGAACTGGATCTCCTGATTATAAAACTCAAGATGGCTACCATCACAAAACATTGTTTTATACTAAAAATATGGAAATACCATAAAAGGTCATTGGCTTTCACTTTTTTAATGTTCCACATTTTTATCCCTGGCCTTTTTAGCTTACTGCATGGTATGGGTTTTGCTCATTGTTGACGGCTGAACTGTGACCTGTAGTTGTTTACATCCTTGTCCTTTGATAGATAATTCTTGTCTAATCTGTAATTGATATCACATGTCCTTTGTTGTCTAATCTGTAATTGATATCACATGTCCTTTGTTGTCTAATCTGTAATTGATATCACATGTCCTTTGTTGTCTAATCTGTAATTGATATCACATGTCCTTTGATAGATAATTGTTGTCTAATCTGTAATTGATATCACTTGTCCTTTGATAGATAATTGTTGTCTAATCTGTAATTGATATCACATGTCCTTTGATAGATAATTGTTGTCTAATCTGTAATTGATATCACATGTCCTTTGTTGTCTAATCTGTAATTGATTTCACGTGTCCTTTGATAGATAATTGTTGTCTAATCTGTAATTGATATCACATGTCCTTTGATAGATAACTGTTTTGTCTAATCTGTAATTGATATCACATGTCCTTTGATAGATAATTGTTGTCTAATCTGTAATTGATATCACATGTCCTTTGATAGATAATTGTTGTCTTACTTGTCTATTGTTGTCTAATCTGTAATTGATATCACATGTCCTTTGATAGATAATTGTTGTCTATTGTTGTCTAATCTGTAATTGATATCACATGTCCTTTGATAGATAATTGTTGTCTAATCTGTAATTAATATCACATGTCCTTTGATAGATAATTGTTGTCTAATCTGTAATTGATATCACATGTCCTTTGATAGATAATTGTTGTCTGATCTGTAATTGATATCACATGTCCTTTGATAGATAACTGTTTTGTCTAATCTGTAATTAATATCACATGTCCTTTGATAGATAATTGTTGTCTGATCTGTAATTGATATCACATGTCCTTTGATAGGTAATTGTTGTCTAATCTGTAATTAATATCACATGTCCTTTGATAGATAATTTTTGTCTGATCTGCTATTGATATCACATGTCCTTTGATAGATAATTGTTGTCTGATCTGTAATTGATAATACAACAAAATACATATGAAATTGTTGAAAAACGTTTTATATTCTAGTCAATTACAGGAATATTAACATCTTCTTCCCTTTACAAATTAACTCTGTTAATAGGTCAATTAATGATAGAATATTTAAATATGGTTGGAAGATTATTCTATTGTCTTTTTATTTTACTTTTTTATCAAATTTAATCTTTATTGCAAGTATATATTTTGTAACAATATACTTAGCTAAAGCATTTGGCTAAGTTTTCCTGTTAATTAGTTATTAGATATCTAAGATTATTCTATTGTCTCTACATAAACATATCCACACAACTGAATATAACATGCAGCAACTTTTTACTGCATTGACTTAAAACTTTTCTTCAGTCATTCGATAAACAAAACTAATCTATTGACTAAATTATCAATTATTGTACCCACTGTTGTTTTAGCTGGGGATATAGTAATTGTTCTCCTCCTTCTGTCCTTTACTATTTAATGAACATTTTTTTTTACATTTCCTGTAAAATGAAACTTAACTGGTTATTAAACTTTATATTTTTGTCCATCTGTCCATTACAGACTTATATTCAGAGACTACAATAATTGCCCAAAAGTTTTCCTACTTGGTATGATTATTGGTCATCATATTCTCTTGAAAATACTTTTGTCATTTAAAATTCTTGCAAAAGTTGTGGGACTGAGAGTATTGTACTATTGTTACACAATGACACCTAATGAACACAACATCTCAAAGACTGTTTGCTAGAAAGCTTCCTACTTGGTAATATTGCTTGTGTATTTGACCATACTATACTGTCATTTTTATTTGACAATTCTTGCTGGAGTTGCAGGACTTGGATTTTTTTCTTTTTATTTTGTAACAGAATGACCCCTTTTGAACACAACTCTGAGACATTTTGAAAGCATTCATACTTCTTAGGATTACAGGTTCATATTAGAGACCCTAACTATGATTTGACAATTATTGCAGGAGTTTGGGTGGAGAGAGAATCACTATGACATAACAACTTTGATTGTGTACATAAAATAGGAAATAAGGATTCAAAGAAAGTCATTATTTCTGCATATTCTAATTCTAATGCTTTAAAAGGGCATAAGCTACGAGATATAAAAAAAAATTAAAATATAATTTTTGTCGATCCTGCCACTTCTGTCGCACAAAGATCGACATAGTGATAGTTATCCGGCAGCTGTGGTGTTAACTTACTACTTAAAAGCTTTATATTTTAGAAGATGGAAGACCTGGATGCTTCATACTTTTTAAATAGATGCCTTATGTTATGAAGTTTCCATCTGTCATATGTCCATTGTCCTTTGATCTCATTTTCATGGTTCAGTGACTACTTGAAAAAAAAATTAAAAGATTTTTTGTAATGTTTATTTCTCTCTTATTATGAGTAATAGGATAACTATAGTTAGTATGTGCGTACCTTGCAAGGTCCTCATGCCTGTCAGACAGTTTTCATCTGACCTCGACATCATTTCAAGGATCAGTGAACAAGGTTAAGTTTTCGTGCTCAAGTCCATACATCAGATACTATAAGCAATAGGTCTACTATATTTGGTGTATGGAATGATTGTAAGGTGTACATGTCCAACTGGCAGGTGTCATCTGACCTTGACCTCACTTTAACCGTTCTAGAGTTATGCCCCTTTATAAACATAAAAATTGCTGAATTTTTCGTTTCCGTTGTCTTACTTAGGTTAGCCTCAACCAAAAGTTATGAAACTTACACAAAATGCTTATTACTACAAAATACAGATCAAGTTTGAATTTTGGTGGTGTCACTTTTACTGTTCTACAGTTTTGCCCCTTTACAAAGGGAAAAATTGCTGAATTTTTCATTTCCGTTCTCTAACTTAAGTTTGCCTCAACCAAATGTTATGAAACTTATACACAATACTTATTACCACAAAACTCAGATCAAGTACAAATTTGGGTAGAGTCACTTTTACCGTTCTTCAGTTATGTCCCTTTATAACTGTATATGATATGCAAGCGGGGGCATCATCTGTGTCCCATGGACACATTCCCCATTTATTTTTCTCTAATACTATATGCAATAGGTCAACCATATTTGGTGTATGGAAATATTTTACAATGTACATGTCAGTCTGGCATGGTTTCATTTGACCTTGACCTCATTTTCACAGTTTATTGCTCAGTGTTAAGTTTTTGTGTTTTGGTCTGTTTTTCTTAAACTATGAGCAATAGGTCAACTATATTTGGTGTATTGACTGATTGTAAGGTGTATATGTCTATCTGGTAGGTATCATCTGACCTTGATCTCATTTTCATGGTTCATTGGTCAATGTTAAGTTTTCCTGGTTAATTTTTTTTCTTAGAAACTATAAACAATAGGTCAACTATATTTGGTGTATGGAATGATTGTAAGGTGTACATGTATTTTCGGTTTGGTTTATCTGACCTTGACCTCATTTTCTTTGATCGTGTTAAGTTTATGTGATACTTGTAGTAAAGCTTTATATTTAGGACTATCAATATAAAATCAATGGTCAGTAAAGCAGGTGAGACATTTCAGTGTGTGCACTCTTGTTTTTTTTTGTTCAATCAATAGTAAAGTAGTGAATAGCAGCCAGTTTGGTTCAATTTTGTCAAAATAAGCTAAGAAACATCGCTGATGAATTATTCCCTTGCAAGTGAATAATTCAACCTCATTGAATCCATATTCATGTGACCTTCAATTTAACCCCTTAGCTGGAGATGGCATATGCATGTATTTAACTATTAAAAGGAAAAGAATGTCAACATTGAAAGTGAAACAAGGATGAACCATTTGGTTGACTGATTCTATCCATAAAAAATCATTCTTATACAAGTAAAAACGATGATAAACATACATTTTAATCTACAATATGAAATCAAACCGACCTAGGAAAGTACAATTCCATGATGTCGCTATCTATTTATATTTATATTTACCGGTATGTTTATATTAGGTTATATGACCGTCAGCATTTTTCAGAGGTCATCTCTAATCCTAATGCCCCTTTAACTGATGTTTTGTTGATTTATTATTATTTGTTGGCTACCAAGTTTACTGGATTTCATGGGTTAGATAAACCACAAATTTATGCGTTCAAAGAAAATATTGATTATTAATTTACAGCAGGCTTATTTAGACTTTTGCAAAACCACAAAATCAAATATCTACGAAAATAATATTTGTCCACAAACCATGAAAATAACTGAATCCACAGTATTTTGAATATTTTGAAATATGAATACATATATATTTATCTACTGAATGTTGTTTTTTTTCAGATCAAAAAGTAATCCAGCTTATGCACAATACAAAGACTTATGTGGGGATGGTTCTCCATTTTGCTGGTTATTCCCCTTTGGTAGTCGCAGAGCAGCACAAAAATATATAAACACAGTTTAGCATTTATTGGAAACCTAAATGACTCTCTTTTATACAAGTGAGAGTTTAATTGTAATATTTTATGCAGCTATGTTCTTTTTATTTCAAATTGAAATGTTCCACAATATTGTTGATTACACTAGACTAGTATCATTTTCTATAACACCTTTTAGTTCAGTTTGTCTTTAGTTTAACATGGCATCCATCTGGTCTTCTAACTTATCAAATCATTTTTAAACCACTTTGCCAGTTACTTCCAAATTTATCCTAAACCTTTCTTGGAAGACTACTGTCAAAGTTATGTCTTGTTATGTTATAAATATGGCTTTTATTACTAAAAAAAACTGAGAAGAAGTGAAATATAGCAATATTAGTTCTTTACCAATTAAAGGAGGTCTTTTCTAATGGAAACATGCCCTAGAGTAATATTTTATTTACTGGTGGTGCTAACCTTTTCCCATTGTTAATTGCAAAGGCAAATAATTATTCCTTGCCTAAAATAAGTTACACCATTGTATATATTGGATGTTCATGTTTCTAGTCAGGATTTATAGCATTTAATGCTGGAGTAGTAACAGTTTGTAATGAAAATTTAATTTAGTACATTTCCTTTCATATTATATACATATCCTGCCTGTAAAGTAAATCTTTACTAGTTATTACTTTATTTTTGTATATCTCTTATCAAGGACTTACATATCAATGAAGTTACAAAGCACCAGAAAGTTGGTATGAAATTCTGGTTTATTTAGCATGTTGTATGACTTCAAGAATGTCTTGTTTATTATAGAAGGATTTGGTTGCTGCTTTAATGTGTAACTAATATTATTATTCAATATAACATTTTGGTTGTCCTAGTGATGAATATTGCAAATGTAATGCTTTTACACAATAGTGCTTGGTGGATATTATTATTGATTGATTTTGGTCCTTGATGTACCTCCTTCAGAGGCAGAATGATGTGTGGGTTTTTTTAGGCTGCTTCTATAATGGTTTTGGTCATTATCCATTTCCGTTAAAAAAAATTATCTGTTCATAAAAAGTGTTGTGTGTTTCTGATAATTATTGGGTTCAAAGTTTAAGATAATTATCTGTTGTGTTATATTGATATTTGAACACTGTCTAAGGACAAAATAGAGACCAGGTAAAAATCATTGGAATCCTTCTTTAATTTTACAAATATAATCCACATTATATATAAGTAAAAGAGAAATAGTCATCATTAACGATGATATAATTATTTAGCTTAAAATCATTGAATTTATAATCTTTTCTTTCTGCATTTAAACTATTGGCATTGTGTAAGAAAATCTCAGAGAGGCTCAATAAATAACAGCAGATAATAATGTTTTCCAATATTTGTTGTAGTTTCTTATCTTTGTCATGTAAGTGTTACAATTTTGAAAGTAATTAATCACTTATCATCAAAATTGTTCACCAAACTGCTATCTTATTCACATTAAGGCATTTAAATCCATGTTGATATACATGTATTATTTGTGTGCTTCCATATTCATATAATCCTCAATTTCTTTGATGAGCTTTGGTTTAAAACAACCCTAGTTTATACATCCCATTTCATTTAGTACACCATTACATTACAAAATGTAAAAAATATTTTATTTGATAGTAAAATCCAAAGAGCAATGAGCAAAATATCAAAACACAAAAGAGTAGTGTGTCCTGTTTTATAAAAGTAAGTTCAACTTAACTTTGTATGACTTTGTTAACCAGATTCTTGTTTAAGTTTGACATTTATTTTACTTTTAAGGATAATGTATTATATGTCAGTTGTCAGCATTAATGATTTTTCCTTTTTGACGCTTTATAACATGAGAAAAATTTACTCCATTGGTTCATAATTTTTCAACAGCTTAAAATGGATAGTTTTCTTGTCGGAAATAAAAGAAAAAATTCTTTAGAACTTCATGGAAGAAATGTCCAGAAGATTTCAAAAAGAGTTTTGATGATGTAATATTGTTAAAAGTAATGAAGTATATAGATGAAATGTGTTGTCAGTGGATGATTGATGAAAAAGTGCATCATTATTGTCTTCAGCAGACAATTGTCTCCACGGTTACATTAATTTATTCATAAATTACAAATCTCCAATCAAAGGGCTTGTAATGATGATGCACTTTACTTTGCAACATGATAATGGGACATTTCTTTAATCTACTCTTCAAATACTCACTGTACAAAGGAAAACAATGGATGAAAATGTAATAGTCCAGATATGGATTTTCCTGTTTATGTAATTTATTTATATTTGGTTAATGCATTATACAATTATAGTTATTGTGAATTGTTGCATTTAAGATGCTTTGTGACATATTTTTTAAATGAAATGGTGTTACTGGGATTATATATTTATCTTCTGTGCAATTAAAATTGTCTGTTTATTCATCTTTATAATGTTCATTTTATTCATATGTCCTTTCCCCTTGATAACTAGCTGATATCCATTACTAAGAGAGGTATAGTGTGTGAGATCACAATGTCTTCATACTTCCAAGTTGTTGGAGGTGGAGTGACGATTCAAGGTGGTTAAAAAAAATCTTCAGATACCAGGCTTGCAATTTTGTATGACAGACTAAAAATTATAAGTTGGGAGGCCAAATAAAATACAAAGTTGTAGAGCATTAAATACTGATCATTCAGAAAAGTTGTGCCGAATTGGCTAAGGCAATCTATACCTGGGGGTAGAAAAACCTGAAGTGTTAATTTACAGAAAATTAACATTTCAGTGATATTTCATGTCAACACAAAAGTGCTGACTACTGGGCTGTTAGTCAGATATTCAGGAATGGTATCAAAGAGGGATGTACCTGACTTCTCCGTTTGTAGTACATTCTCGTGAATAAGATATTTTCACTTTGATAGTCACAGTGCTTAAAAGAAAAACAAGTAAGTGTACAAGTAAGAGATGCACTTTAAATTTTAACAAAAAACAGACACATGGGGGTATATTACTTTTCAGTACATCTGTAATATGTTACAATGTGTTTAAAAAAAGAATATAACCAAGAATAATCTTTAATCATTTGTCTGCAATACTTTTTTTAACGACCATTGGAATATATAACAACAATCCAAATACCCGGTATACCATTTTTCTCATTTTTACCTTCTGAAATCGATATTTCAAGGTTATTTCTTATGATTCATGAACTTCAACTGGATACCCACCAGCCCTGTATCAATATAATATAGATTTTTTTCTTCATTTACGAATTTGGAAATTCAAGTTTAAATTGACTTCCGAAAAACTGCACTCTTTGTAAAGTCATTTAAACTATTTAGTAAATAGAAATTACGTAGTAGATGTCTGTAGGCTGTATGTTGCCCTTTAGATGTATGTAGGCTGTATGTTGCCCTTTAGATGTATGTAGGCTGTATGTTGCCCTGTAGATGTCTGTAGGCTGTATGTTGCCCTGTAGATGTCTTTTGGTCATTTTTGTCTTTGGTTTGCTGTCTTAACATCTATTTTTATTCGTGTTTTATACCACAAATCGGTTCAAACTGCCCCGGCTTTGCTTTATTAGCTCTGCTTTGGATTTATAAACTAAAATTAGTTATTAAGAAGATAAAAGTTGAAACCTATTATATAATAGCTTTGATTTTAAAAGTGTAGAATATTACAATGTACATATTATAGTTTTACGTCTTATTTGAAATCCTGGTGGGATCTCTTACAATGATTTTTCCGTAATCACTGTTAATCTTGTTCACAAACTGTAACATTTACGTTTTATCATGTGCTGCTACCTAAATTGTTTTTATTGCCGACCTTTTTCGGGAATACTTTGATGATTCTGAACATAATGATCTTCGTAATCAACTGAAACAGTCATATAACTTAAACGCTAAGATAAAAAATGTAATTCAATTTAAACTTTTCTTTAAGATGATGGTATCATTTGTCTATCGTTAATCTGAAGACACAATATGTAGCAGCAAAAAAAAAGTAAATTTATGATACAAAAATATGCTAGAAAAAGCGAAATTTATGTTATGCATATGTTATTTATATTCGGTAAAAAGCTCTCAAGAGGTTATGTTTGTACTGTTATATGTGAACCGAATCAAAATAAAACTTTCGTATTCGTATTCTATCAGCAGGTCTGATTGAAATATAAAGTTCAACCCCCAAAGTATGCTATTGCATGAGGATCCAACACCCCCTGGTTTGTTGGTACAGTCGGAGAAAGACGATTGAAACAGGTGCAAGAAGAGTATGTTGATGGCTATATACAACTCGCATCAAGCTTTAAAGAATATTTAGTGAATTGATTTTGGATATTACATACTATTATCTTTATAAATTCTTAATAATAAAATAATCCAAAACGTCCTAAATGAAATAGTAATAAAATTCCCAAACTAGAAGTCAATATATTGTCTGTTCATCTAAAAAAAAACATATAAAAGAGCGATATCAGCCATTGTCAATCTACTCGCTCCCCCCCCCCCCCACCCCCACCCCCAAATAAACCCACAAAATAATTTCAATCTGCATCAAGAACTTTGGTGTCAATCGATACATTATAATTTGTGGTTGTAACTTCCCCGATATTGGGAAGTCCTACTAAGACTTGACCCAACTTTAAATATGTCAAAATGAACGGACTATGTATAAGCAGAAACATTTAATACAATTGTATTGACGTTGCGCACGATGTTGGTACTACTTAGCGTTACACGACGTTCCGCATAATGAAGCGATTTCGACGATTTCAAAGAATGTTTCAAGCGTTCAAGCTTATAATTGATGAGGTCAATTTACTGTTGTGAATTTGGTAACCGATTTCGGTTTGTCTGAAAATGCATAGTTTAACAAATAAAACTCAAAGTGGTCGTACACATATTTTTTTTTAATGAATATTCATTTATAGGAGTTGTCAGTCTTTCCAGGCCATAATTGATCATTTTACTTTTGGAAGCAGTTCGCATTAATGAATCATACATTAATTTCCAAATTTATACAGATTTCTTTTTAAAATAAATTAGATTTTGATTTAATTTTCCCTTTTTAATGCATGTTTATACATACTCCTTTTGTTGCATTTCTTTCCGTTTCCGTTCTATATTTTATCATTTCCCGATGCTTTCTTTGTCGCATAATTTCGAGGTAGTTAAACATTTTGGATTCATGTTTTTCTCATTTCCGTATTTTTGTGGCATTATGCATATCCTTTGTTTTGTTATAATAGCCAGCAATGGTTTTTCTCTATTTTATTTTATTAACAAAAAAATTATGCATGTTGCTTTTGATGATTTAAAACTTGCAGATAGACAACGTTCCTTGAATAAAACAAATGTCATGAATGTGCTGAAAAAAACTAAGATCCCGATATTTTTTATATCAATCTCATTTGGTCAACATTTGAATTTAAGCTTAAACTTTTCCTTTATCATGCATACATTGGTTATATTATAACTTATATTTTTATTTTCATTCGAATTAAACTGGAAACAAATAATTATGATATAAAATTAAAACCCCGAGCATGACATCAATTACGTTTTACGAACGTTGGGACAAAACGGCTATACTTTTTGAAACGATATTAACATCTTGTTGCCTATCGAAAAAATGTTAAACACTATATTGTTTAAAAAGAAAAAGAAAAAAACTGTTACCGCCAAGTTTTATTTTCTTTGATCTAACTATGCTTATTTAATATATAGCCGGTTAAAACCTCAATCGTAAAGAAAATACAGCGTTTTTTTCGTTGGGACAAGATGGCTATACTTTTTGAAGCCATTGCAATAGAAACTATACGCATGGTTTCCTGCAAAAATTATCATGAACTAGGAGGAAAGTAAAAAACTTTCAAAATATCATAAATATTTTTCCTCTCAGCTTTTCCAATTTCACGGTATAAATGCGCAAACCCGATATATGCTTACCTTGCATATGCTTGGACATTTCTCAGACCATTTTCAAAAATAACATTTTCCGGTTTACGGTTTCAGTGATATTGATTTTGCTTTAAAACGCGAATAACAATAACAATAGCAATACTCTTGTGAAGTTTTACGATGGTCAGAAAAAAAATACTGTAGGAAAGAAACGGAACTCCGATCTTTTGCACACAAAATTTAACGTTGGACATTACGTTTTTGCGTAAAAATGGGATAATTAAGTGTTATAATTCTTGATATTTTAAATTTCGGTTCCTTTTTTTCTTTTTTTTCAAGGATTATGTAATAATTTCAACCAAAAATCACTATATTTTTATCGAACTGACCAGTCTACGTATTTATTTTCATGCTAATCTATAGCAAAATGGAATTCGTACCAACATCGTGTGCAACGTCACTATGATCGTCGTGAGATAAATATATTTATATTGTATATATTGTATGTGTCTCTGGTTAACGGGTGGCGTTATATGACTGACAGAAACTGAGTGACGGTAATAAAAAAAAACAACAGTTCCATTTGGAATGGCAAGCTAATGTCAACCTCGTATAAAAACCGCCTCGGTGGTCTCACGGTGATAGAGTGTTCGCCACAAATGCGGGAGGTCGTGGGTTCGAACCCCGCCATGGTCAAACCAAAGACTTTAAGATTGGTATTTGCTGCTTCTCCGCCGAGCACGCGGCATTAAGGAGAAAGAGCAAAGTCTGGTCGGCTCGGAGTCGAATAATCATGTGTCCGGTTAAGGTGATATGTCTTCCTGCAAACTGTTGCCTTGTGAACTAGCACGTTAAAAATCCGGCTCCTCCTAACCATCATCATCATCATTAACCTCATATGCGGCGGAACATTCTTTAGAAAAGAGAGGCGAAAGATACCAAAGGGACATGGCAAAAAAGGAAAAGACCAAAAGACAAACAACAGTATACAAGAGAAAAATAAAGACTGAACAACACGAACCCCACCAAAACCGGGGTGATCTCATGTGCTGCGGAAGGGTAAGCAGATCTCGACTCACATGGGGCACGCGTCGTGTTGCTCATGTAAGTACAAACCTGGTGATAAGTCTAATTCGGTAGGTGACATTCGGAGAAAAGGAGGACGGGAGTGTGCTTACGACGATTGGAACATATCCGTCGTCATCTGTGAAACAGATATTCCATAACGGTCAACCAACTTCTGATGGCGTCCGTAAAATTTTCGAAGGGGTGGTTTCAACTTCACCACTTGGAACTCTTGATTTAATAGCTTCCTTGTGAGCAGCAACCCTCTATCAAGGAAATCATGATATGAAACGCAAGCCCTGGAATATTGTGTCAACTGGGAGATATATACTTTATATGCAGGCGCTGCTGGAAAGCTGCTACATAGGAATAGAAAGTTCACAATAGAGAAGTTGAAATCATCTCTTTTGTCGTAAAATTTTGATTAGAAAAGTGTTTTTTTTGTGTGGAAACAGCAAAACTGTTTGAATTGAAGAATTTTAGGGAATTTTAAAGGTCAGTATATAGTTTATTCATTGATGTTATGACAAATATTACATGATTTTGGAATGAATAGCATTACTTGGGCGAGTGAATCTTTAACGGCTACCATGTGAGACCAACAGATATGTACAATTGAGACACAGTTACAGGGAATTTGTAAAATCAGGGATTTTGTAAAATCACTGAAATTTCAGGGAATTTGTAAAATCACTGAACTGATTAGTGATTTTATAAAATCCCTGATTTTGACTAGTGATTTTACAAAATCCCTGAAATAATTTAGATTTTTTTTACAGATTCACTGATTAAATTCGGGGAATTTGTAAAATAAATTCATTCATTTTTATTAAGAATGTTTGTGACAAAAGCCTTCTACAGTAACACTCAGTAAGTTTGAGGTTAATCTAGCATTTATTTTAATATTAAGTGGGCAGTTTAGATGCACTATACAACTGACATACTGTAGAACAAATGCCCAGACACAGATGTCTTTAAATCAAGAGCAAACATACGCACAAAAGTTACTTCAAATAATTGAGGGAAAAAGTGCAACATATGGAACCGGGGAAAATATGATGTAATTTTGGAACACGTTGTCAATGAGCCACAGAAAGAAGACAAAACAAGCTCTTATCACTACTTTGTTTGAAAGAAAGGTACTGTTTATTATAGTTCTTCTGTTATTATAGTATGAAATGAAACCAATTATATCAAATTTTTAAAATCAAATATGAAAACGTAACATTAGGTTGATTGCTGTCATTAGAGAAGAAAAACACATTTGTAAGGTATAAGAAATTGAGTGGTATGTGATCCAGTGGCAAATATTACATGCATATCAGATAAAAAGCATCTTATTGCTGCATGAAAATTGATATACAAAAAGCAAATAAGTGTTGTATTATTAATTTGCCTACAAAATAACATTCTTATTCACAAAATAATAATGAAAAAATATAGGTTAGAATACTTTGTTTTGTACTAGCATGTTTATGAATAGGTTCTAACCAAGCAAAAATAAAAAAAAGTTTAACTTACTTTGGTCATATATCAGATACATGTATTTTATCACAAAGTGATATAATTTGAATAAGTTTCTAAACTTTCTCAACTCTTTCAATCCAAATAAAGTAAATATTTTGTTTAATGTAGGTATGATGTTCTTCAATGTGGAGATTTGAAAAAATCGATGTTTAAAAAATATTATGTATGTCTTGAAGACATGTACAGCATAGTTCAGAAAATTCACATGTCAGTAGATCATGGTGGTAGGAACAAAATGGTATTAAAAGTACGCAATTTGAAAGTGTGCAAATGTTTCATACAAAGCTTTAAAACTTTACAAGGAACTTTGAGAGGAATGCCAACTAAAAAAACGTAGAGCTGCTACAGTAAAGGTTTTGTCGTTAAGTCTATAATAAACAAAGTGTTCAATTTTCCGAGTACAGGTTAATTGATACAGACATGCATCGAAAAACACGGCAATTATGTAACAATAGATGTCACCCAAACTTGCCATGCAAAAATAAGTAAATTCAGTTGTCTGAATATCCGTTTACATGCCTTTTAGTCACTATCATTATACACTAGATCTAGCTCATAGTGTTTAATAAACAAATATACTTCAAAATCATTAGTGATCATAAGTCTATTTTTTATTTTAAGAAAAATACATTTCTAATAGTAAGTTATACTTAATTGCAATCAGGGATTTTACAAAATCCCTAGCTCTATATTCAGTGATTTTGTAAAATCCCTAACAATTTCAGGGATTTCACAAAACCACTGAAACTGTTAGTGATTTTACATAATCACTGATTAGTCCAGTGATTTTACAAAATCACTGATTTTACAAATTCCCTGTAACATATACACCATCGCATATATATTGCAATTCAGGCACATAGAATATTCCGATGTAGATCGTTAACGCTTTAAAACAGTTCAATATAATCCAATATATGCATAAATATGTTCATTAAATCATGCTATTTATCAATATATATGTTCTGAACAGATGACTGTTTCGAATATTCCTTTGTACCTGCTATCAACACGTGTGTATTCCGAACACCTTGCAGAAGTTCCTCTGGAAACTTTGTAATGAACAATGCTTTAATATCTGTTTTAAATATTCTATACCCTTTATTAATTCCATCTAGAACAAATACTGTTATAATTCTTCCAGTGGAGAAATTATTCCAGAATATTTCGTCCAGTTTGGAATTAATAATATAAAGGAACTTACCACCACCATAATACCAAACCTCCAGATACCCGAGCTTCCCCGTCGGTGTAACATTCTCTGTGAGCTATTTAAGCCGCCAGCGTGTAGACAATACTCCTGTTTTCATCCGACCGTCACTTATGAGTGTTATGCAGACAAAACGCTGTATCTTTGCTGTGTTTCCATAAATAATTAAGAACATCTTCCATTTTAACTGTTTACTTACAGACTTCCCTTTATCTGGATGTACTATTTAGACGTGTTTAGCTGTTCATTACACTATAGTATCCAAAAACAAAAATTAATCTACTCCTTGACGGGAAGATGATAGATAGACTTTATATCAAACTCGGAAAATAACCAGAGAAGCCCGACTTTGTTTCTGTTATTATTATTTTTTTCTTAACATTTATCCAGGTATGTTTACCTGTCGACCTGTCGCATCAATGGAAGTGTATTACCCTCAAGATTTTTTGAAGTGCGGTGTATGTAATAAGCAGTATACAAATCCAGAACAATTGTCGTGTTTTCATTCATTTTGTGCAGCATGTATTAATCAATTAGAAGATCAAGACAGTGGAGTGGTAATCTGTCCTAAGTGTGAATTTGAGGGACCGTCTCAAAAACAATCGGATGAAGTTATAGGAGTACTTTTGGGAATCTTGAAAGGCGATGTAGAATTGTGTGGAGAGCACCATGACCAGCCATATACATCATTTTGTCAGATATGTGAATGTGTTTTATGTGACGAATGCAGGACAGATAAACACAAAGGGTGTTCGTCTGTTGTAACAGTTCATGATGACAATATTGATGAAATAGTAAATTCTTTTGGAGCCGAAGTAGAAAAAGAACTGGCAAAATCAACAAGGAATGTCACTGATTCATATACAAAATTCTTAAAGCAACAGCAGCGTTTATTCAAAGAAAAATGCGGAATTTCAACAACAATTTCAGCTTTTTACTACAATTTAAAAACGAAGATATTAGAATATCTAATTGAACAGGAAAACATGTTTCAAAACTATGTGCGTAAACATTATTCTACAATAGAACAAAAATTGGAGAAAAATATCAAGCAAAGTGAATGTATTTCTCAAAGATTCGCAAGTCATGCTGATCTGTTTAGCGTGATAGATAAAGCACCGTCAAACATATCCAATCTGCATTTATATGAATCAGTGAAGAAAGAGGTGTCGAAGTCAAAATCAGAAATAACGAAGACCGATAAATGTGACACAGTAGAGTTTATTCCCGAAGAATCACAACTGAAAAAAGTATTTGATTTTCAACTGGCTAACTTAAGACTGGCAGGTGAAACTGTAATAACAGAATCTAATAGAACATCAAATCTATATAATATAGACGAACTTCTGGTTTATCCTGCGCTTCCCCTTAACACAGAACATTCGACTTCGAACGAGACCACTGTAAACTATTTAAATACGAATGAAGCTAGACCATTGGATTTGGACGAAAACCTGCCCACTGGCTCCTCCGAGTTACACGTCAGCGTCCCTCAACTGCCAACGAGTCAGCTAATAGGACCACCAATTCCTGAACCTTCTACCTCAATTGATACATCTGTAGATACGTATGAAACAGAAACTGAAGATACCGGTAATAATCCGTCCACTTTATTCTGTGAATCTGACATTGCCACACCAGGACTGACGAGTCAGCCTACAGCACCACCGATTCCAGACAATATCAATCCATACAGTTGTGAGGTAGTAGATAATAGGTATAGTACGACAAATCCCTCCAGAGGTTCAATAGAAACAACTTGTGTCTATGAGTATGGTGACTTTGTACAACAGTTTAAAAGTCAGTTTGCAGAGGAACCGAAATCAGGGTCGGCAGTTGGTAGGTATACGCTGGTTGATTTAAGGTTCATCATAACGTTTTCGCTAATATGGCCGTATTTACACCACATTTTTTTCTCTGAGAACAGAAAAGGATTTGTCTTCCTATATAAATTCTTGGTACAGACAAACCTGTGCACCTGGAAAAGTTTAAAGGCATGACAGGAACTAGATAATTAAATTTCAAATATATTTTATGTTTCAGAAAATTGTTAACTTTTCTGGATATTGAGATTCCTTTTTTTTTCGTTCCCATAGATGGGGCCAAAATAACTTAAGTTTGGAAAAATGTTTGAGATGTTCCCCTATGTAAATATTTGTATTGGATAACTGGACTTTTTTCCGTACTACAGAAGGTGCCAAAATAAACAAGTAGGAAAAGAAGTTTGAGAACTTCCCCATAGGTAAAAATTGAAGTGAACTGTATTGATAGAAATGGACAATAGAAGGATAATAGATACCTGATAATAATTGGTGATTTAAACTGTGTCATTGAGTGGACCATATCAAGTACAACTCAACTGGGATGGAAAAAGTGCACAGCAAAATCCAGTCAAGTTTTTAATTTTCTATCACATAAAATGCATTTGAATGTTATTTATCTAGAGCATGCTATGCATTAAAACTTTTCCAGATACACAGGTTTGTCTGTACTCAGAGTAAATTTTCAGGAAAAAACCAAGCCTTTTTAGCAATAGGGTCCACATGAACCTTAGGTGAATCATATTTTGTTGGAATGAAATTAGTTTAAATTGTATCAATGTAATTTTATCTGTTTCTCAAAATATAAATCAAGACAATTTGTCTATTATATATGTATAGTGTGATGTTTAAACGGAATTGCTATGGATATGTTTGTAATTTTATACTAATTTATTTTTGGTATAACGATCAGATACTATATATAGTAGTAAGGATTTTGTAGTTAGAAGTGTCTTTTCTCGTTAGTTTTTAATGTCTTGGAATATGTTTTTTCTTCTTTTTTTCAGGAATGACCTGGGTTGGCGATGACCGTATACTGATGGTAGATAGATGGAATCACAAATTAAAACTTTTCACTGAAAAGGGAGCTTTAGTTAGTACGACCGTAGTACCTGAGGGAGAACCATGGGATATTGCATATATAAATAACACAAACCTCAGTAACAGACACATGTGTGCAGTTACTCTACCTACGACAAAACGAATTATGTTCGTCCGCATCATTGACAAGATAGAAGTTTCCAGAAGTATAATGACACGGTGTGGCTATTGTTGCCTTGCCCATGACAAGAACGGTCATACGTTGGTTTGTGGTACTTGTCGGCCATTTATTAATGTTCCTTCTATCCACATTATTAACTCGCAAGGTATTGTACAGAAAGAGTTTGCATTAGATGGAATGGGAAATCCTTTATTTGATTATCCGAGGTCAGTTGATGTAACAGAAGATGGCGAAATTATCGTTTGTGATTGGAAGAAAAAACGGCTACTTTTCATGAAGACGGATGGTTTCATCTTGGGAGATTACAGGGGTGCACTTGACTACCCGCTCAAAGAACCAATTGGTACTACTCTAGATGGACTGGGGAATGTTCTGGTAACAGATACAAAGGCAAATAGAATCCAGGCTATCTCAGTCAAAGATCGACAGTTTGTTACCGCCTTAAAACTAGACAAAGATTTGTACCACCCACGAGAAATAACGCTTGTAAAAAAATCTAACTATTATCCTAAAATAGCGGTAGCAACCGATATGAATGTGGTCATTTTCGATTTATGGAGCCCTGTCAGTCCCGAGGAACCATCAGCCCCACCCATCAATCCTTCAGCACCACCCTCAACAGTGTTTTAAATTGTATAAATTGAATTAGTTGGTATGATTATAATGCGGTATATATCAAGAGCAACATTTTGAAATTATTGTTTTTCATTTTTCCTTTTTTTTTCTGAAAAAATGACTCAATTTTCTTTGCTGTTTCATTTTGAGACGGTCTGTTTTTTCTGTATTTTACAAATAAATGGACTTATTTTTTGGCAGTCAACATTACTCTTTTACTCTGACAGTAGCAATGGCAGACGACTCTGACAATGGCAGACGAGAGACAGGATTCCGCGAAAATCTTGTTGAATACCATTCCGTTGTTAACTTTATCATCTGAAATAATTGGAGAAACACTCCTATATTACATATTAATCTTTCTTTTTTCGTTTCTCTTTTACTTCCGTAAAGGATATGGGGGGTTGTAACTGGTCAACAAACACTAATATTATGGTACATGTATATGTTTATATTATTTATTAATTTATATTCCATATTTGCTTTGTTTTTTTTTATTCAGGTATACAATTTGTTTATGTTGCTCATTGTAACTATTTTGCCCATAATAAGGTCTCTTTTGGAAATAAATGATATCTTTTCTAAAACTGTATAAATTTTTAAGTTGTATTACGAATGTTGTTTATAGTGAAAATGTTCATATTGAATAAAACACAAATTTAAAGTGATACTTTTATCAACATAACAAATTCAAAATATGATTTAGACCGAATAATTAGTCTGGATTAACAACGTTAAGTGGGTGGGGGCAAATGAAGTACCCTTGGTGTCAATAACCTTCGACAAAAACTAAACTCATCTGACCTTCACTTTCGCTTTTCAAAGGCTTAGTTTAAATTTAATAAGCGACATTTGATAATTTAAACAGTGTTCAGGCTGGGTCTACATTGATTATAACAGCCGCCTTCCGCCAGAAGTAGACCCTCAAGATGGATATTTCAACACTTAAAGAGGTTTACCGGACTTTTATGTACTTATTTATCTATTGTCCTGTAATTAATAAATAAGGTATATTAATTGATCCAATAATAGGTACTAGCCTTGGTCCTATCAATTAGGTATATGGATCGATCCAATAATTGGTGACAGCCTGGATCCTATCATTTAGCTATATGGATCAATCCAATAATTGGTTCCAGCCTTGATCCTATCATTTAGGTATACGAATGGATCCAATCATTGGTTCCAGCCTTGATCCTATCAAAAAGTAATCAACACCTATATTTCCGTCCGTTTATTTTAATATTGAATTTACTAATTAGAATTGTTTGTTGTTTGATTTACGTCCAGTGGCAAATGTTGCATATTACTGTAAGAGTTGTAATGATTGATAAGTTTGAGACAATTGAAGAACAAGCATAACTTTGAAACGTTGGCTTACTATACTATTGTGTTTAATTACTTTTTTATCCATGGGGATCTTGCACTGAAGGCTATTGATTGAAAAGCGAAAGTTGGTACTGGGCAAGCCAAAATAAAGAAAAAAAGAAATAACGACAAGTGAGGTAAATTAAACGCAGAATTGATAGTATTTCCTGATTAGCAATAATTTCACGTAAATATTTAACTGTTGTCCGGTTGTCGGAGGTACTAGTGCGTATTTCCTGGTTTTCTTGTAAACTACAGAAGACACGGATGAATATTATTACATGAGGCCACTCCAAATTGAATACTTGTTCTTTCATGTACAAATAAGGGAGCGATCGAGCGATTTTTTTATACATGTATGTATGTTTCTCTACAATAGCTATGTTATACTAGTATTGTAAATGATATATTCGGGATGTTCTGTGTTGTTTGCTTCTCAATGTCCAAACTTATTAAGAATTACTTGGCCTGCTGTTTAAAGAAAGGATTTAGTTATTAAAAAAGTTTTAATTTATACTGGTTGTTGTAACAAATGAAAGGTCCATAAATTGATATAAAAATGATACTGGTATTTTGGTCGTATCAAAATGTGCCCTTAATTTCGACTATAGCAATCGCAAATCGTCTCTATAGCTAACAAAAAATGCATATTACTTGATGCACAAGCGCTAATTAATATGCCAATCCGAAACCTGTATATATTTATTTGAGGTCAGTATAAGCCATATATTTAATTATTGGGAAGAATATGCAAGCTATAAATTGATCAACTGCTGCATCAGAAGATCAAACAAAACAGAGGTCATAACCCCATTCTCATTAGAAACAATCTATCTTTATTACGGATGTAAGTCAGTGTCTGGTTAAATGTGCTGTTTGTTAGCGGGGTAGGAGGTTAAGTGGGTTATGATGTGCATTCGTGACCCCCATTCCGGGTTTCTTCGACCCCCGGACAGGAATGTACCCATGGAAAACTTTTCTCCGGTAAGTTGTTTTATGACCATTATTGTATATAGATTAAATACTTAGCATGCTGTCATGTCGTTGTTGGACATTTACAGCGTTTGGCCACAACAAACATAATGTGGATGGGAACATTTAAGACAATCATTTCATAGATAGCTTTTTAATATATGAATAAATACAAGTAAATTTTTTATCTCCTCAATAATGGGTTCTCGGTATATTTATAGCTGAACAACATGTCATCCTGTTTCCGTGCAGTTATGAATTTGACACCTTTGAACTGTATTCCCTTTATCCTTTATGTTGTCATGGTATCTCTCTTCAATATAAGATGTGCTTTTAATCGTCATTTGATTATTGAAAATCTTAATTTGTTTGCAAAAGTAATAAAATGGCAAAACCCATTTCATTCTACATTGCAGAATTTCTAGGAAAAAAATCTTTATATACCCCCAAGGGCGACTGGGGAATACAATTATAGTCCCATTGGTCTATTTCCGACCCTTGCCAAAGTGGGGTGTCCGATGTACACAGCCACGTCCGGTCAGAATGGGAATGTTAAATCCGATGCATCGTGTAAAAAGAGTGCCACACTGCACGTTAAGAGGCCCATCACCACTTTGAGGGGTCCGTAAGTGGCCTGTAGCAAGGAAATATTTCTGTCCTTGTACAATATACCCTCATTTTCCAGTGGCAGTCAAAATTTCCCTGATCTTCATCCCGGACGGCCGGGCCTCTTTTACAGGTCTTCCCTATTGTATTTTTGTTAATTTGTTCTCGTCCTGAATATGCATGAAATATTTGTCACTGGACGTTAAGCCATCAACAATCAATCAATCATATTGCCTATTTACATCCTTGATCTTAACGATAATTAAATTTTATATTATGTTTTATGACAACACCTTTGTTTCTGTGCAAATTAAATATTTGTTTGAAATGCCCTTATTTTATATTTTATGCAATTGCTGCATATTTCTGCTATTTAAGGTTTAAAACGAAATTACAATCTTTCCAAAGCAAAAGTTGCATATTTGAACAACATTTCTTTTTACTATCCGTTTAGCTGAATTGTGAAGATCTGGACATTGCAATTACCAGTTCTTTGTTTTATGTCTACGCATGAAGCCACGTTATATAGCAACTGAAAATGAAATTTGGATAAAGGATGTGGGTTATATGTCAATGTGACAACCTCCAAACGACACAAAAATCCTCACGATAATTGGAGACCATGCTATATACAAATTCCTGCAGAGTAGTCAATATATTAAGATTGGTCTATCTAATATATGCTAACACAAATATTGGTCCTTCCTCTTCACTTAAACACTAGCGAACACTGATAAGAACTGACACACAGGTTTGATTCCTCGATTATAGAAATTCTGTAATTTCGTTCCATATTCTAGTTTCTTTGCGTTAGTATTTTTATCTTTTACTTAATTATATTTGGAAGACTAAAACACCAAAAATATATGATCAAAGGAAAACAAAATAACCATATGATTCACGGCTCGTTCCTGTCTAGTGCTAACAAGCTCCAGACACTACACATAGTCTTACAATGTAAAAGAACAGAGAGAATACGAACAATCACTGTACTCTTACAAATGTAAGTTGAATAGTGCATTATGTTAAACATTTGGCGATTTGAGCAGCACTTCATAATGACAAGTATAATACTGCAACTAAAGGCCATTTTAGGTGTTCTTCCGCCAGGGGACCAAGCTTAGAGGGCAATTTATAAAGTATTGTGTCTTCATTCAATAAGTTTAAAGCTGCAATCGCATATAATAAACGTGCACAAGGCTAACACTATCATCATGGTCTTTTTGTAATTGAATTATATTTACCTCAATATATATCTAAATCTAAACGTTGTTCTTTTTAACAATAGGAAAGAAAAAATAACGAGGGAAAAACAAGTGTAGCACCCCCGGCGTAACTTCATGCACGCATTATGAATTGTTGTTTTCTTTTATGTTATTAAATTACCTTGGCCTTTTCCATTCAATTGTCGCATACATATTTAGAACTGGAGCATATATATACTATAAACAAATGTAAAAAGTATGTGTTTACAAGTATAACTCGCTTAAAAGAACTTTCATCTTGCTTGGCTAGCTGTCATTTACAAGGTAGCGGTCCGCATGTTTATCTGACCGGTCGCATTATTCTGACTCTATACTTTGACCTCAACCCTATAACAAATTCACTTCTCGTGGTTAACAATGGGCAGAATTTAATGAAGATTGGATCTCTGTGTTGTCTACAAGACGACATTATTGCAAATTGCTTCACAGGGGATCAAAAGTTACTACCCGCTTCCAAATTGAAATAATAAATATATAAGAATAAGGAGATGTGGTATGATTGCCAATGAGACAACTATTCACAAAAATTCAAATGAAGTGGGTGTAAGCAATTACATGTAAAGGCAACCGTACTGTCTTCAACAAAGAGAGAAAAAAAAACACCGTATAGTCGGCTACAAAGGTCCCGACATGAAAATATAAAACGATTTCAATTGAGAAAGCTAACGGCCTAATTTATAACAAAGCAATTTACGAAAAACAAATATATGACAGACCCAGGAGTTATAATTTTGACTGCCACTAGTAAATAAACATTCTGATGTAAGATCAATTTAGCCTGACAATAGGTAACGAATTTCCCTTTACAAAAGGTTATTACACAGGCTATCTCGCGTTTGCCGGACACTTGACACTTTCCGTTAGTGTCACAATCAGACAGGACTTGCTAATGAGAAAAAAAACAGGCTACGCAAAGCTTCACGATCTCACTTCTTGCTGACCATCTAGAATCGAGACCTGACTTATAAATGAGCTCGATATTGAACATTACTTATTATACCCTTATACGCAAGCCACATATCAATGACAATAAACGGTTAAGTTAATCTTCTTTTTTATTATTATAATTGATATATGAGCCATTATTTGGACCCAGAAATTTAAAAAAATAGTAAAATTGTTCAATCATTTCAAAATTATGTTGGTTTTATTGATAAATGAATAAAAAATTATATAATCTGAAAATTTAGTACAGAAATGTCTCTTCTAATTTCATAAACATGTTGAAATTGACATATTTGACTAAAAATGGTAATTTTATATGACACGTCTTATATGTAGTTATAGGTCTTTTGTTAGTTGTTTCTGTACTAAATGCCGACCTTATCAATAAAGCCTTTCCAACTGATTTTTACTGTTCTAGTTATAGGTGTTTTGTTAGTTGTTTCTGTACTCAATGCCGATCTGGCCAATAAAGCCTTTCCCAACTGAATTTACTGTTCTAGTTATAGGTGTTT